CACCGGGTGTGGGCCCGCGGCCGCGTCTCCGATTCAGCCGGATCCCCCCGCGTCTCCGCCCCTCCTCCCGGTCTCGGTGCTTCTTCAGCTCCCTGGTTGTGGGGCTTCTGTGTAGCCAGATCTCAGGAGGCCCTGAGTGATGGTGGTTCTGTATTTTAGTTGTAATTTTGATGTGGTTGCGGGAGGCGGCGGGTGCAGCTGTTACCTACGCCGCCAGCTTGTTTCTCTCCATATGTTCTTATTTAACATTTCTTCTAATAACCATGAGTTTATTAAAAATATATATATCCTATTTAGAATCTATTTTATTTTTTTCTGAAGAAACTATAAAAGACTTTACAAATTTCACTAAACCTTTTATCTTTCTTCCTAGATGGTAGATCGTGTACTGGAACACTTGCCATTAACATTGAAGATGTGAATGATAATGCACCAGAAATACTTCAAGATTATGTAACAATTTGCAAACCAAAGATGGGGTATACTGACATTTCAGCTTTCGATCCTGACGAACCTATCCATGGCCCTCCATTTTATTTCAGCTTGGCAAACCCTTCTGCAGAAGTCAACAGAATATGGACCCTCTCCAAAGTTAATGGTACTCATTCAAAAACAATGATATAGATGCTCTGAAACAACCAAAAGTGGATTTATCATTAACATATTTAAAAAGCCTAAAATACTTTTACAAATATCGTTGGGGGCCTGTCATCTATTATACACAAAATGAAAGAAACCATAATTTTTATGATGGCAAAATTTAATTTTACAACAAAGACAAAAATGCTTTGTAAAAATATTGGGCAGCTTATCACTAAATTGTTTTTGCTGTTTTTCAAGTAACTCTGGTGAGACGAAGAGAAAATGGAAGATGGGTGGCTTAAATTTGATTGTGAGCAAACTCTGGAAGTGAGGAATCTGGGTGTATGGGACAAGCACTCTAAAATGTTGAAACCCAAAATGTTGAAGTTCTTACAGTTATTACAGTGCATTTAAGCACAGCGTAGAAATTACAAATGACTCCCAGATGTGCACTATGCTAGTTTGTCATTTCATTTAGTGCATTGCGAAAACTTAAGAAGGTTGTAATTGCTGATGACATTGTGCAGAGCTTTTGGTCAGTTGGTGATAAGGTCTTTAAAATAAGTATTAAGACTGTTGGGGGAAATATCACAGTTGATATATATGTATTGTTATGATATAGTGATAGCTGTTTTTGTGTAAGCCTTATACCCAGCCTGAGTGACATTAATTAGCTTTCTGGTATTGAGATTACTTCCAGAGGCAAGGCATTAATCACAAAGTGTCTATTGTGTTTTGAAAAATGCCCTTAGCGGTAGGATAATGGAGGTAAGTGGATAAGAGAATGTGAACTTAAAACATCCTTTGTTTGTAACTGTGTGTGTTGATTCTTTATGAGTGTCATAGCTCTTACTAAGGAAAAATGCTTGAAGTGTATGTTAAAAGCTAATCTAACATTATTAGTTTGTAAACAAGGGGATAAGTAAGAAAATATCAAATATTGTTGAAATGCTACTGGGTCACTCCACTGCCAAATTCTTTCTTTAAACATCTCTCTGAAAAGTTACAATGACCAACACATATGCAGTAATGTTAGTGCTTGAAAAAGTTGAAGATAGTCACCCAGTTATTTTAATTTTAATGTAGCAGGTGGTTATTTACAAACAAGAGTGGTGAAACAAAGGTGAAAGGAGGAATGAGTGTTCATTCAATTATAATTCTTTTATTTTAGATACAGCTGCCCGTCTTTCGTATCGGAAAAATGCTGAAGTTAAAGAATATAATATTCCTATTACTGTAAAAGATAGAGCAGGTCAATCTGCAACAAAAACCTTGAGAGTTAATCTCTGTGATTGTACTCATCCAAGTCAATGTCTGGGGGCTTCAAGGAGTGTGGGAGCATCACTCGGAAAATGGGCGATCCTGGCGATACTACTGGGTATAGCACTACTTTCTTGTAAGTCCTTTTACTTACTTAAAATTAAAATATATAATAAATATCCAAATGCAATAAAAAGTCTTTAAAAAGTAATCTTGCCCTGCCATTCATCAGGCGTGAGTTCCCTTTACAAATTCCTGTTTGTGTTATTTGAGTTCTGATTGACTGTTTTCTGTGAGGAGCAAAATCATTTTTGAGATAAAAGATTTCATTTTTGGACAGAATTCTTGAAAATGCCTAACGTTGTGTTAAGCCTGTCAATGTATAGTTTTATTTCTGGGCCTTTTATTTTAATTTTTTATGTTAAATTCATGTTTAATGATAGAAAAATATGTGAATACAATGATATAGAAATTTCTGGGACTTAAAACTAAGAAAAATAGTGATCAAAGTTTTTTTTCCTCCCCTATTTTTTTTTTAAATTTATATTTAAATTTAGATGTTCCTTTTTTCCCCTAGTGACTCCTTTTACCCCACCCCCATTCCCCTCCCCAGGCCTTTACCACACTATTGTCTCTGACCATGAGTTATGCATATATGCACATAAATTCTTTGGTTAATCTCTTCCCACCCACCCACCGACCCCCACCTTCCCTCTGAGATTCCTCAGTCTGTTCCATGCTTGTGTGTCACTGGATCTATTTTGTTAATCAGTTTATTTTGTTCTTTAGATTCCACATATGAGTGAGATCATGTACTACCCCTTTTAGTACTATAATACAATCTAAAACTTATGCTATATGGAAGTTCACTAAGCCATTTTCATGTCATGCCTTCTCACCATTCAGCCACAGATTTATGGGAGATGGTCAGCAATGTCTCTTCTTCCATGTTACTTTGCCAATTTTGAATTCTATCAACTTCTTCTCCAGTTGTGTAGTTCCCTCTGACACCATATCTCTCTCTCTCTCTTTTTATATCCGCCCAGTCCTCCAGCTGAGATTAGCTGTTGTTCCTTTGTTCTGTGATAGGAGTGGTGATTAAGAGCAAGACACTGGAATTAGACTGTCTGGGTTTGTACCCCAGCTCTATCATTTGCAAGCCATGTGACCTGGGGCAAGTTACTTAACTGTGCTTCAGTTTCCTCACCTGTAAAAGGAAATAATTATAGTAGCCTACTTTATGGGGTAGCACTGAGGATTAATTAATGCATGTGAAGAGCTTAGAACTGTGCATGGTATATTTCTAATAAGTGTTCATTATCTTTTACTAACTCAACAAAATAAATGTATATTGAACACCAATGATATGCCAAAAACTGTCTAGATGCATGGGATTCATCAAAGAACAAAACACAAAACACACACAAAAATAGTCTGTCTTGAGAGGGTTAACTAATAAATAAATTAAATGCTGTAGAGGGAAAAAAAATAGAGCAAAATAATTAGGATCGATAGTGCTGTAGAATGCGTGTGGGGTGAGTGGGAGAGATTGGTGGTGGTGATTGCAATTTTCAGTAAATGGCTAGGTGAGGCCTAACTTGAGGTTATTGTTGATGATTTTTGGAAAAGGTAGTCCAGTGGAGTACCTGGGGAAAGAGCTTTCAGGTAGAGGGGAAAGTCAGTTCCAAGGCGCTAAGGCAAGAGTATGCCTGCGGAAATCAAGGAATGGCAGTGAGACCAGCGCAGCTAGAGAGTAGTGGATGCGGGGAAGACGCCTAAGAAATGGAAGGGGAAAGATCACAAGGGGCCACAAGAGTAGGCGAGGGTTGGTACACATTTTCTAGGGCTAGATAGTATATATTTTAAACTTTGCAGGCCTTGTAGCAAGAAAGCAGCCATAGAAAAAATTTAAATGATGGGCATGCTGTGTTCCAGTAAACTTTATTTGTGGGCACTAAAATTTGAATTTTATATAATTTTTACATCTAATAAACTATTATTCTTTTGATTTTTTTCAACTATTTAACAATGCAGAAACCACACTCATGGGCCATACAGAGACATGTGGTGGGCTGGATTTGGGCTGTAGTTTGGCAGCTGATGTATAGCAGCTTGAAGAACGTTGTAAAGTATTGCTATTACTATTAGTTGTATTATCACACATTTCAACCTCCCACAGTTATTGCATAGAATGAAAATTCTGAATAGACAAAATACAAAATAGGTTTAATTAAAATATTTGGAGATAAATCTATTTTGGGAAAAAATGTTTTGTCATGCTTTTCTGTAGGCAAACCATTCTTTTGGGAATCAGTAACTCTCTTTAAAGTCTTTGTCTTAAACGAATGTCAGTGACTTAAAAAATGTACTATTTAACTCATAATTCTAAATACTTTAGTATGATGGGTAGAATTCAGACTCTTAAAGAGGACTGTCATCAAAATATACGTATAATCATGCCAAATTTTAAAATCTAAGCTAACTCATGGCATGCTAATTTAGGAAGGAGGTCAAGGTAATTCATGGGACATCATGCTTAGTGGCTTTATTTGCTTCCTGTGCACCTTAGGTGATAGGGTACAAAGGATGGGTATTTTATTCCATGTATGTTAACCTGTATATGTTCCCTTTTTTTTCCCCCCAAACTCAGCTGTATTGCTAACTTTAGTATGTGGAGCTGTTGGTGCCAGGAAAAAAAAAGGTTTTCCTGAAGATTTGGCACAGCAAAATTTAATTATCTCAAACACAGAAGCACCTGGAGATGATAAGGTGGTAAGTAATTTTCTTAGATGCATATTTACCTCTGAGTACCTCCCATAATCTCTTAACGCATCCTCATGAAGTTATTTTGAAATTTAGAATTTATTTATAGTTTTAATTGTGTAAGATTTTGTAGGCATAAGTATTTTATCTGTCAGTATTCAAATATTTATGTAATGGCATTTATTTAACTTTTTAACCAGATGCATTGTTTCGGTTATCTTTTTTCCACTCTCTAGTGCTATAATTTAAAACTTGTTCTTTGAGGTTGTAAATTTATTATAATAACAATCTATTTGGCTGCTGCCTACAATGTGTATTCCCAGAGATTATTTTTCTCTTTGTCTGTTTATAATAGAAAAAAATAACTTGCTAAAAACTATGAAGAAAATATCAAAGAGTGTGCGTATGTATGGGAGGAGATTGGGAGATGGGGTTAGAAATTAGGTGAAAAATGAGGGCTGGAAAAGTAAATCTGGAAATCATTAACATGGAAAAGGAGATATGGATATCCTGTGAGAATAAATTTTGGAGAATGCACTTGGAGGTGGGTGAAAGGAACGCAGAGTAGAGAATGTGGAACAGCACTGTGGGCTCAGCCTCCCATTTTAGTTTATTTTTAATTCTCTCATTAGCTTAAAAATATGATCTCAGCATGTATTTATAATGACAAAATTGTAGTATCAAGGAGATTTGAAAATCAGAATTTTGTGTGTGTGTGTGTGTGTAATAGAAATTTACTGTAGCACCAACCTAAGCAAAAAATATAGGGTAGCAGTGCCACCAAATGGCTACTTTTCAGTTCTCTTTTTCTAGTATTTTTTCCTAAGGCAGTGAGATAGCATGCATGACTTTTATAGATGTAGTTCAGGTTCAGTAAACCATCTCAACTTGAAAATCTTCCAGATCACTTAGAGACTCTGCATATTAAATTAAAAAAAAATAAATTGCTGAGAAGATGGCACAAAAAGAGCCTGATTATTATGGAGATGTTGTCATGACCATAACAGTTTATCATTAGAACTGACACACTGAGGTTACCGCTATAACTAAACTTCTCACTTATGTTGAACTTCTCTAGTTCTCTCTCTCTCTTTTTCTTTGAAAATGAACTTTTGGAAAGAAAGATTTATATTCACCTTATGGTATTACTTCCTGTTCACTCAGCATTCCTTGGAAATTCTTCTGACAAAAATCACCAGTGGTCACTTTTTTACTTGAATTCAATGGGTGCTACCTTTCTTTGCACCAGCTCTTACCCTTCTTAGTTTGTTTCTACTTTGCTCATTGACCTCCTTACTGTACCCCTTCGCATGGCTTCAGAGCCGTGCCTCTTTGGTTCCCTCTATTGGCAATTCCAGATCCATTGTCACAGCTCTAATTCCTTCGCCCACTCCTTCAAATGGGCTGTTGCTTATGGCTTTAATTCTTAGCCCTCTTTTCTCTTAGTCTACAGTTTTATCTGGGTGATGCCGTTTATTCCACACTCCCCGAATTCTCCCTCCAGCTCTGATCTCACGCCTGAGCTCCAGATCCCCACATTCATGTATCCGCCTTGACATCCCGCAAGCTTCTCAAGTTTACAGTGTCCCAAACTGGACGGCTGACGCCCGTCTCACCCACAGGCATGCTCCTGTTTCAGCGTGAATCATACCATCAATCTCGTTGCACCGCAGAACACAGAGGAATTATTTCCAACCCTTCCCTTTGCTGCCTCACCCGTCTAACCGCCAGTAAGCTCTCCATGGACTTCTTCCAATCATTACTGCTTCTGCTTTGGCTTAGGCCCTTACCATTTACACCTAGAATCATTCAGATCCTTCTGATCTCCACGACACTGAACACATCTCTTATTTGTCTTTCACATTATTGCCTAGAATGATTTAAAAAATATGTTTCTCCCCTGTTATGAAAACGATTTTTTGAGTCCTCATAATCTCAGGATAGTCAGAGGGAGAGAGAGACAGAAACAAACATCGATGAGAGAGATCCATTGATCACCTGCCTCCTGCACACTCCCTACTGGGGATCAGGCCTGAAACCCCTGGCACGTGCCCTGACCAGGAATTGAGCCAGCGGCCTTCCGGTGCCTGGGACTGTGCTCAACCAACTGAGCCACACCCGCTGGGCTCCTCTGGCCTTCTGTAACCTTTCCAGCTTCCTTTCTCTCTCTGCATTCTGTGTGGTAGCCATTCTCAACAGGCTGAAGTCGAGAAACCCTAAGGCATCCTTTGCCCTAGACCCTCCTGCAGGTAGTGCATTCTTCCTCCCACTTCTCAGTAGGAGTCCTTCAGCTCAGTTTCCCAAGTCTATTCCAGTGAACCTCTCTGTTCTTTTTCTGTGCTCCTATAGCATTCTGTGTTCACCTGTATGTCAGAATAATCACATTCTTAAAGTAATTATCTGCGTTCTGACTTATTGGAATAAGAACTTGGAGGCACTGAATGACCATGTCCATCTTTGCATCCCTAGACTGAGCACACGATTGGAAAGTAAATGTCTGTTGAATGAATGAATAAATGAATGAAGGAAGGAAGGAATAAAAGGTTGAATAAATGTTGTTTCTCCCTTGCCGCCTTGTGACTTTACTTGGAATCCATCTTCTCGTAATATGAATGGTCTTATTTTATTTTATTATTTCAGTGTTCTGCCAATGGGTTTATGACCCAGACAGTCAACAACTCTACCCAAGGCTTTTGTGGTACTATGGGATCAGGAGTCAAAAATGGAGGGCTGGAAACCATTGAAATGGTGAAAGGAGGGCACCATACCTTGGAGTCATGCCGGGGTCATCATCACACCCTGGACTCTTGCAGGGGAGGACACGTGGACATGGAAAACTCCAGATACACTCATTCAGAGTGGCATAATTTCACTCAGCCTCGTCTTCGTGAAGTGAGTTTCCCTAAGTGATTCCACTCTACAATTTAAATGGCCAAGTGCAGAACAATAGGAAATTGAAATGAACATATATTTTGAGAAACTGCTTTTCCCTATGCTTCGTGGCTCCCTCTTTCTTCCTCACTTTCTGGTTATTTTTCCCCCTGCTCTTTAATTGTGTTATATTATTTAATATAAAAGGGATTTTATTTCATCTGTTACATTCTCTTAATTTCTAAAATATCATGAAAACAGGTTTTTAATATCCCTCACTTAAGTTTCATTTTAGTTTTAGGTGTGTGTTTACCTTATGAGCTCTTTTATTATGGAATATGAAAAAAACCTCATTTCTCACAATCACAAACTCCCAAAATCAAATTTCCATTTCTCTGTGAAAACAAAGCATCTGTACACAATTATAGGATTAACATTTAATCATATGATTTGTCTGAACTATTTTTAATGTAAAAAGCACCATGCAAATATAATGTGTTTTATCCAGAGGAAAGCAAGGGTGTGAAAGAAAGGAGAGATTAAATAAGGGATTTTCAGTCCTGATAGCACATCAAAATCCCCTGGGGAGCTTTTAAAACAGCACTAACACCTGCTCTCCACCTTGAAAGATTCAGATTTAATTGGTTTGGCTCCCCTACCCCTCATAGCTCCTCAGGTGATCAAATGTACAACCCAGGTAGAGCACCCCTGGATTAAATTTCTTTCTGGTACTAAGATTTCACTTCTTTGATCGGAGGGTACCAGTGCCTTGGTAACACCAACACTGGACCAGAAGCCCTTAACCCTTTGATGGACTGCAAATAGCTTAAATGTCTATAGCATATTTTTTTTCATGAAATTCAAGAGTTATTCTTTTCCTGTTTCTAGACAGTCAGTTTCATGTAATATGTTGGGAAGGAGCAAAGCTTAAGAAGTACTCTTAGGAGTCTTCTTTGCTGTGCACATCAGGTCATGGGATGCGAGGCTAACATGGTCATGAAGGATGACCCTTGACAATGCAAGACAAGAAATGAGCTCAGGTTAGAGAGGGAATGCACACAGGTGAGGAAGGGAGCAGGCACAGGAGTGTGACAAGTCAGCAGAGAGGCCAGTGACAGATGGTTAGGGTAGTTGTGGCTGAATGGTTGTCCCCTTCATTCCAAAGGCCAAGTTTTTGCAATGTCGGTTATGTTATTTTTAATTTTAGTGACATTTTTAATGCATCTCTATTTTGTCATGTTTTGGCTATCTTGTAAACTTGATTCTGAAGCCAACGAGGCAATTCTTTCCTACTTTCTTACTGCACATAATATGTAGCAATTTTAATTAACATCTATTATCTGTTTACTATGTGCTGGTCATAGTAAGAATATTTTTCTTTATTTTTTCCCCATCACTATTTATCTCCCCTATACCCTCTTCCACCTCCCCCTCTTCCCCCTGCAATCACCACACCATTGTCTGTATTCATGAGTTCTTTCTCTTCCCCACCAATCCTTCCACCCCTCCCAACACCCCCCCACCAGAGCTAGACCTGCTCTGTATCTATTTTCATGCACTACTATTTCATCATTTAAAACTGATCCTGTGAGATAGTCACTGTCTATATCCCCTTCTTAAGACTTGAGAAGAAGGAGACAAAAATATTTAGTAACTTGCTCACAGTCATATAGCTAGTTGGTAAAGCCAGAGCTATGACTCAAAATCAGGACTGGTTGACCATTCAAGTTCAAATTCCTAACCACTATGCATATTGTCACCATTCTGTGTGGACTAGCCTGACCTCTGGATATAAAATTTAGGGATGGGCATTTAATGATAATTTAAATGTACTTAAATATAACATTTATATACATAATTTTTTGTTTGTATGGATTATTAGAAATGTAAAATATGCTGACTTTATGGTATGGTTGTGATATAGACCAATCATGTGCATTTTTTGTATGTAGGACTCCGTTAGAGGACACACTGGTTAAAAATTAAACATAAAAGGTAAATAAAAAAATAAATTTTATGTTTATATGTTTGTGTCTTTAAAACAATAATGCAGTCCCTTTTTTTTGGTTTACAGAAATTGCACCTATATAATCAGAATGAAGACCACCTCTCATCGCAAGATTATGTGCTTACATACAACTACGAAGGAAGAGGGTCTCCAGTTGGTTCTGTAGGTTGCTGCAGTGAAAAACAGGAAGAAGAGGGTCTGGACTTTTTAAATAATTTGGGAGCTAAATTTACTGCACTGGCAGAAACATGCACAAAGAGATAAATGTTACAGGGCTACAACTAGACATTATCCTGTCAGACATTCTGGGGGTTTCTGGAAGGAATGCTGTAAAATTCAGTTTCTAAATAGATACATGTGAATATATATGAATTTTTCTAAATTTTGAATTATGCTAATTGCCAATTTATATTTTTCAAGCAATGTATTGCTTACCTTTTTTTTTTTTTTTTTTAAATCAAGTTTAAATGTTAAAACAGATTTTTGTCTTCTGTAAAGCTGAGTAAATAGACAATTAGCAGATCTCATGCTATAATATTGGAATTAAAGTCTATAAGGGATCTGTTCTCCTCTACAGATATTTTTCCAATAAGTATGTTGGGTAAATATTAGTCCAACAATAGCTGCACTGTATTTGACTGGATATAGCACAACAGCTATCTGGACTGAAATTCTGTTCCTGTTCCAAATTTAGATTTAAATGGAATAGGATTATTTCAAATACTATGGCTGATTTTGTTGTGGTTTTTTAGCTCTAAAAAGTCATTAGTGCCTTGTCAGTAGCCCCTGTGATTTCTAGAATTTTGTTTTCCTCTGGTTAGCAACAGGATAATAAAGAGCAGTCTTATCAACTCGATTGCCCTAATGAAGGTCTCAAAAGTACATAGCCACAACTTTAAACTACCCTAGGAAAGTGTAAGACAAGAAATTGTTACTTTGATGCTTTTGAAAGTGTGTTTTATGGTTTATAAAGGATTATTATGAGGAATATAAATTTCCTATTCTCAAGAAACAGATCTATATTTACCACACAGAGAAGAGTGATTGCCAGTATTTTAATGAAAAATAGTAAAAATCTTATTGAGATAGGATTATTTCAAACACTATGGCTGATTTTGTTGTGGTTTTTCCACAACAAATCATCCCAATTCCTAGCATTTTTTCCCCCTGAGATTTAGGACTACCATCGAAAACTTGCCAGTAATGAAAATTATGCTGGAAAAAAGTTGCTTTCTTCTCTTAAGTATTGTACTTTCATATTTTCATTTGCAACTTTAGCACATATGGCTCTTATTTCCTCTCAATAGTCGTCATTTCAAATTAGAATATGTTACCCTTAAATGGATTATGGTTATGCCTTATTATCTGAAAAAACAGACTCCTGCCATAGTTATAAGTAGCAATGAGGGATTAACATGCATTTTAATTCACTGCCATTTTCAAACAGAATATATCATGGCAGGTAGATTTTACAAAATGTTGTGAATAATCAAAAGAATATGGGAAACTCAACCCCTAGGTGCAATTTAATATCTTCTAAGATGTTGCTTACATTGAGCACTTCCAAAATTTGTTTTTATGATAGAGCCCCTGGCAGGCCTGCAGAATACTTCACAGCAATGATGTTACCAACTTAAAATAATGAATACCTAAATTTATGGTAAATCTAATCACGTTGTATACTTACTTCAAGTGATAGTTTAAAAACTGAACTAGAAGTATAGGAGCAAAAGTAGGTTTACAGTTGTGCTACAGATAAGTACTACAATAATTAATAAATAATAATACAAGAATAAACTGCATTTCGCATACTCACAATGATAAATCTACTTTTGCCTCACTCCTGTATTAGGTATCACTAACTGAAGAAAATTTTGGAAGACAGATCATTAAAATTAGCTTTAAAATTTTGCAGCTATGAATTGGGACCTATTTCCCTCCACCCCCCAAAATTCTTCATTTGACTATGGGGGCAGAATTTGTTGAGCTAGTCTGTGAAGTGGCAGTGTTCTATAGGAATAGAGTTTGATCTAAATATATGTATGTGTGTGCGTGTATATATGGGGACACTGGGAACTTTGGGAGAGGACAATTACAAGGTGGGTATTGGGACTGTCAAAGAGCATTGTGAAAACCCAGGCCTTCAAGGGCGAGGCGAGAGGCCCACAAGGGGCCGTGAGTGGTAGTAAAGGCAACAATGTTTGCCTCATGGTTTTTCCTAGGCCAGGCCCTTCCTTTTCCTTCTTTTCTCAGGCCAGTGGCAGTTGCCATTGGATTTTGGTGAAGCATCACTAACCCTTTTTCTGTGCCTCACCTTATTTGGCGTGTGGAGTCCAGGAGAAGAGCGCTGACTGCATCATGAGTCTGAAGGCAGCTACAGGATGGGCCTGAACTGGTTGTGCAGAACAGACAAGGCATTCACGGGAAATGCTTTATTCCTGTGTAGCCCTCTGGGCCCTGTGATAGAAGGTCTTCAACTAAATGTGCTCTAAACTTTTTTATTTGATGCTACACTTTGGGTTTTCTTATTTGCTCCTGAAATCTAGATTTTTAGACTGTTGAAAGGGTAATTTTCCTTTTAAAGTTTTCTTATTTTTAATGTAAACATCTTTAACATGTAGTATTCTTCTTTCCTTATATATATAAGGTGAAAATTACGCTGTTTTAGTATAAAAGAAAATATCTCTCTAAAGCTTTCATTTTTCCTGTTCTTGAATTTTTGATGTAAATGTACAGATTGTTTTTTTCTTATTTTTATAAAGAAGCAGTTAACTGTCTGTATAAAATGCAGTGATGTTTGTTATTAAAAAAATTACTTTACTTTTAAAGAAACATGGCAGGTTAAAACAGCAAAAATTGGATGTGTAAAGTAATATTTACAGATATAGGATGAAATAAAACAATGTTAATTTAATTTCTTGTCTTTGTCGTTTTCAGAGATTAAGTTATTCCATGGTAAATATGTTACAAAACTGTGCTTAAGACTGGCATGGAAAGAGAGATTCTCAGTAATGCCTTTATTGTATTATTGGAGACTATTTTAGAGAATGGGTAATTATCAAATTGTTGACATTATTAAGATATATTATTTGGGGGAGATTGCTATGTGGGGCAAATGGCTATCTATCCCATCTATCTGTCATCTATCGATCATCTATTATCTATCATCTCTCTATATCTATCATCTATCTAATCTATCATCTATCTATATCTATCTATCTATCTATCTATCTATCTATCTATCTATCTATCTATCTATCTATCATCTATCATCTATCATCATCTATCATCATCTATCTATCATCATCTATCATCTATCTGTCATCTATCTATCTATCATCTATCTATCTATC